CACTGTAACCCTATGCCCTGTTTGGTCTTGTGACTGACCAGAAGTACCTCTGTCTTGTCTGGATTCAATTTCAATTTCTTAGCCCTCATCCAGATCATCACAGCAGCCAATCACTGGTTCAGGACCTGAGCAGCTTCCTTAGTAGCATGTGGGAAGGAGTGACAGAGTTGGACATCATCTGTGTACAGATGACATGGCACCCGGAAACTTTGGATGATCTCCCTCAGAGGCTTCATGCAGATGTTAAACAACATGGAGGACAGTAAAGGGCCCTGAGGAACCCCACAAAACAATGGTTGTGGGATTGAACCGGTGTCTCCCAATAACAGCTTCTGGGAACGGCCCTCTAGGAAGGACCGGAGCCACTGCAGAACAGTACCTCCAAGGCCCATTCCCATGAAGGATACCGTGGTCAACAGTACTGAAGGCCGCTGAGAGATTCAGCAAAACCAACAGGGACACACTCCCCCTGTCTAGCTCCGGGCATAGATCATCCAACTAAGGCAACCAAGGCAGTCTTGGTTCCATGTCCTGGCCTAAAGCCAGATTGTGCCGGATCCAGATAATCCATGTCTTCCAAGAATACCTGGCATTGTGAGGCCACCATATGTTCCAGGACTTTGCCCAAAAAGGGAAGATTGGGAAAAGGCCTATAGTTGACAAATTGAGTGGGGTCCAGTGATGGTTTTTTCAACAGCAGTTTTATTACAGCTTGTTTTAAGCTTGCTGGAATATTGCCTGCCTGAAGGGGGGCATTAACCATCACCTTCATCCACTCGGCCAACCCCCCTGACTTCCTTTAAAAGCCAGAATGGGCAGGGATCTAGGATGCATGTGGTTGCTGTCATTCCTCCAAGTATCTTGTCCACATCCTTGGGTTTCACCAACTGGAATAAATCCATCAAAATCAGACAAGCAGGTGCTAGTGTTACATCCTCAAAGACTGCCGTTAACATGGTGTCCAAGCCAGAACAGATCAAAGTGACTTTGTCCGCAAAGAATCGAGCAAACGCTTCACAGCGAGGTGTCGAGTTGTCAGAGCTCCTGACCTGAGAGGCGGGATTTAACAGGCCTCTGACAACTCAGAACAGGATAGTTCCTTGCAGACACAATATTGGCTGCCAGAAAGGATTTCTGTGCAGCTTTCATTGGTGCGGCATATGCCCTTAGAAGGGCATCTAGCCATGTTCAATTTGACTCGCTCGGATCCGAACGCCACATGGTCTCTAGTCTCCTCTTCCTTTGCTTCATCGCTGCCATTTCCTCACTCTACCAAGATCTGGTTTAGCTCGGCTACTTGAGAGGGGGTGTTCCAGAGCAATCGTGTCTATTGCCCTAGTCATCTCCCCATTCCAGAGTGACCAGGTCATCAACAGGATCAACTAACCAAAGTGGCGGGAAACTCCCCAAGAGCCGTCAGGAAGCCATCCAGATCCATAAGCCTCCTGGGGCAGACCATCTTAATCGGTCCTCCACCCCTGTGGAGGTTAGGAGGTGCAGTAAGCCTAAACCGGAACAGGCGATGGTCAGCTCCCCTACAACATGCTTTAAAAGTAACCTTCAACAGTGACTAAAATATATGTGTTGCACCAACAAAGTAGCATTGTTTGCATTACTTTTGTATTGTTATTTAGTTACACGTTTGTTAGAAGTCCTATTATTGTATTTAATTTCATTGTTTACAATCTGTTATTTTCAACTCTTGTCAGATTGCTTAGTGCCAAGGAATTTAGTTCATCAGGAAATGAAAAAACTCCCTAAAGTAACACACACACATCCATAAAGAAAAAGCAGTATGGTATTGTGGCTATAACACTGGATTGGGGTTTTGGAGTTCCAAATTATACACTCGACTAAGTGAAGAAACAGACTGGAGTCTCACCTACATGAGCTACTTATTCAAGAGACTGGTTTGGAGAGCAATACTGGCCCCATTGGGTGGTTACAATCTCCGTCTAGCAGCAGCAGTGAGGCAAACCGTACAGGCTTTAAACCAGCTTGGCTCTGCTGATCCGTCCCATTGTCACTGCCAGAGTACCACAGAACTCCAGAGTGCTCCTGGTCATCTCCACGAGCCTTTGCTGATCCCCTCTCCTTTTCCCGGGTATCATGGGCATCTTTGCTGATATCAGCGAAGGTTCCTGGAAAGAGCCAGATCTTTGGAGCTCCATAGCCTTCTAACACAACAATGGAAGGGTGACATGGACCAGATCCATTGCAGGGCAAAGAGGATTATGGCACTGGCCTATCTGGACAATTAACCAGTTCGGATAAGAGCGGGTCCACCTGTGCACACTAATCCAAATTGTGGGGCTACTAATAAGTTTTGATGAAACTCTGGAATGTCCTTAATGCCACCTGAATGTTCAGAAGTAACTTCCTAAGTGACCTTGGACCAATTACTGTCCTTCATGCTGACCTAACTTATACAGTTCCTTTGTAGAGGGAATAAATGGCACTGTTCCATTATCCTGGTGGAGGCCACAAGGGGGTGCTAGACAGAGGACATGGGAAGGAGGGAGGGGAATAACTAGTGAAAACAGGGGAAATGGTTTTCCTCCTTCAACCCCCCCCCTCCCCCATAAAATGTACTGTCCTCTGTCTAGTGTCCCCCCCTCCCCTCCCAGCCAATAAAACTAACTATCCTTCTCTACCTACTCCCCCTTTTGGAGTCCACCTGGATAATGGAACAGTATTGAATAAATAAATGAACAGCAGCTAAAAATAAGTTACATATTATTTTATTGCAAAAAACACCTTCCCATTAGAAAAATAACACTGTGTAGATTCCACCCAAAACCATTATATAAGCTACTGTTTCCATTTGAGCATGTTACCTTCATTTTTGAAGGCCTATTACAATATAGTAAGAATATTTCTGCTATTTGATAGCTGAGATGTTTGTATGCACCAAATGGGGAAAGTTTGTGTTCCCTAGAACTCATTTCTAGTTCACAAGCAACCTTAAGGCATTTAAAAATTAAAACCTTAAGGTGAATCCCTTACCTTCATGGGGCAAAAATACAGGAAGGTGGTGGCAAACATCTACCATTCTGCAAAGTTGCACTGCCATCTGCAGGCAAAACCCAATGCATGCAACCAATGTATCTGTATTCTGTATTCTTCTTGCGATCTACTTAGGAAGCTGAAAGGTGTTCAAAATACTAAAATTATTTCAAATATTTTTCAAGGTGACCATAACAGAAAATCATTTGATAATTCTATGCATTGTGCTTACATTCTACTCAGCAGGAATGTATTAACATTTGACTAACTGTTGTGTTTTTTGATGTGCTATCCATGTGCTCCTTTAAAATCTGCATCGATGACAATAACATAATCTAGCTCAGGGGTCCTCAAACTTTTTATATAGAGGGCCAGGTCACAGTCCCTCAAACTATTGGAGGGTCAAATTATAATTTGAAAAAAATATGAATTCCTATGCACACTGCACATACCTTATTTGTAGTGCAAAAAAAAACACTTTAGAACAATACAATACTTAAAATGAAGAACAATTTTAACAAATATAAACTTATTAGTATTTCAATGAGAAGTGTGGGCCTGCTTTTGGCTGATGAGATAGGATTGTTGTTGTTGTTGCTGTGCGCTTTCAAGTCATTTCAGACTTAGGTTGTCCCTGAGGGGCGGGTAAATGACTTTGGAGGACCGCATCCGGCCCCCGGGCCTTAGTTTGGGGACCCCTGATCTAGATCATTGTAAGGCAGTTGGCAAGAACTCATATTCTATTACTCCATTTTTTTAAAAAATTCAATCATTAGCCCATTCATCAAATTACATTTTTCTTTTCTTCCCTGATACCTGCTTTGTGAAATATTTTATTTCCTGAAGCACCTTTTTAGTAACACAATCACTTTTGTGAAAAGTATTTTCACTGGTGGTTGTTGACTAGAGTCTTATTCTCTCTGCTGAAATTCTTTGTTGACATATCTTTAGGTTGGCTTTTCCTAGTTCTAAACGCTGTATATAAATTTAATTGCTCTTTTATTGTGGCTATGTACTCTTTCAGGAGCGACATTTGTTTGCACATTCATTGCCTATATATATTTATATTAAAGAAAGTCAAAATAAATGAGCAGTGGAGGAAACTGAATTTTACTTAGTTTATGCAAACGAATATGGCATGAGCACAATGCAGTTGAACACATGTCTATCAAAAGTAAACCTCATTACATCCAGTGGAGTTTATTTATTCTTAAACTCAAGTTGAGAAATATGACTGCCTACAAATTTCTGAAGGGCTGTCATATCAAAGTTGAAGCAGGATTGTTTTCAACTGCTACAGAAAGGAGGACATAAACCAATATATTCAAGCTGCAACAAAAGACTATTCCAATTAAACCCTAGGAGGAACTCTTTTGTTGGATGCTTATAAACAGAGTTCAGGTGGCTATCAAAGATGCTTTAGCTGTGGATTTCCTGCAGTGGCAGGATTTACATGTTTCTGGGGACCTCTTCCAACTCTTCAACCCTGAGATTCTAAGCAAGTGGATGAAGTTCAGGCGCCTAGACAGTGAACTCCTGCCTACCTTAGGCAGAATAGCCAGCAGTAAGGAATATTGGCCTCTGCAATGGAGCAACATCTGAAAGGCCAGTTTGCCTATTCCTGCGATATAGATTTGATGTCTAACTGTATGGAAGGTGGTGCTTGCTGCTGTGTGTGCCTTCAGGTTGCTAACAACTTATGGTGACCTTATCACAGGATAGTCTTGGCAAGAAAGATTTGTTCAGAGAGGATTTGGCTTTACCTTCCCCTGAAGTGGAGTGAGTTTTCCAAGGCACTCAATGAGTAGCCATTACCAAACTGGGATTCAAACCTGGTCTCCAGAGTAATAGTTCAATGCTCAAACCACCAATTCTCATGGAAGATGGTGCTCTTAGTCAATAAGTAATGGAACAGGAATGTGGACATTGGATCACACCCATTTTTCTCTATGAAAGTATATATCTAACCATCAGTGTGTATTTACCTGCAGCTCTCCTTGTTTCAGTTTTAACAATATGATAAAGTTACTACTTTGTCACGCTAGAGAATGAATACCACTTTAAAATCCAGTTTCTGCCTACTGCAGAATTCTGGGGTGTGTAGTTTTGTGAGGCTGTTAAAGGCTCCTCTCTAACTACAAAACACAGAATTCTGCAGGAGGCATTATTTAGTTCTGGGTTGTAGGTTTTTCGGGCTGTATGGCCACGTTCTAGAAGCATTCTCTCCTGACATTTCGCCTGCATCTATGGCAAGCATCCTCAGAGGTTGTGAGGTCTGTTGTGAAGTCAGTTTCCAACAGACCTCACAACCTCTGAGGATGTTTGCCATAGATGCAGGTGAAACATCAGGAGATAATGCTTCTAGAACATGGCCATACAGCCCAAAAACCTACAACCCAGTGATTCCGGCCATGAAAGTCTTTGACAATACATTATTTAGTTCTATTTCTTTTTTCTGATGTAAAGTTCAGAGATGGATTTTACATTTCAAGCATGCATTCATGTCCTATCCATTTCAATTGGGCGTACTCCGACATAAATGGATGTAGGCTTCCACATTTCAAGTGTTTCCGTGTGAGGCTTTAATCTGGCAGTTACTTTGCCTCAAATAAGGAATTTTGTGAGAAACCCAAGCATCATCTGCCACTTGTAGTCCTTTCATGTACTGCAACTGGTTTTTAAAAATGTGACTTTTTAAGAATAAATATCTGTAAAGGAGGCAAAGATGAAACAAGTGTACTATATCTATGAATTAGCAGAACTGGAAAAGATCCTTCTGTAAGAACTCTTAGTCTTTCCCAAATCTACAAATTCACATTTTACAAATAATTGATGCATAGTATTGCTTTTCCCCAACCTAATCCCCTGGAAATTTATAAATTATACTAATAACATAAATGTCAAAGCATTAATAACATAAATGTCATAGCACCACTTTTTTGACTTAGAGTCTGTGCTGTATGAGTGTCCTATATGCCTGTAAACTGGTGTGAAACATCTTTTTTCTGCCTTTAAAGATCACGCTTCATGATTTCTCCCAAACAAACTGTTGCATAACATGAAGGATCAAGCCAAAATGACACAGAAAGGTAAAGTATTGAGTCCTGTAAGCAGTCACCTCCAAGTCTAACATCTTTTCCATTGTTTTCTAAGAAATTATAGGATAGATCATGAGGATATCTCAGAATATGTCGATAGCAGCCAGGTACATTCAGTTGCAGTGCAGGAAGTCGGAAGTGGTCCATCTGAAGTCCATCTCCAGCCAGTCTTTTGTGATACCACTCACCCACTTTATTGGTGGGATACTGGACACTGTAACCAGCCATTGGTATAATGACCTTTTGGATGAAGAAGACACTGTGAATGTATCTTTTAAATAATTATTTTATTTATTTGAAGCATTTATATTCTGCCCTTCTCACCCCGAAGGGCACTCAGGGCAGAGCACAGCATATAAACAACAAGCATTCCATGCCAGAATATAAAATAACAATAGAAAATATACACAAATGCTAAAAACAGTTACATCTACTTTAAAATCAGTTGTTTAAAAAGCCATCTCAAAACATCATGCTGGCTCCAACCAGTGGAGTAGGTTTCCTATTATTGCCCTACTGCAGTGTCCCAAAGGCTTGGTCCCACAGCCAGGTTTTTACCATATTTCTGAAGGACAGGAGGGAAGGGGCTAATCTAATCTCATCAGGGAGGGAGTTCCATAGCCGGGGGCCAATCACTGAGAAGGCCCTCTCTCTCATTCCCACCAAACGCACCTGTAATGGTGGTGGGACTGAGAGAGGGCCTCCTCATAAGATCTTAGTCTTTTCAGTAGTTCGTAAAGGGAGATGCATTCAGACAGGTAAACTGGGCCAGGGCGGTTTAGGGCTTTATAGGCCAAAGCTAGCACACTGAATTGTGCCCGGTAGCAAACAGGCAGCTAGTGGAGCTGACATAACATGGGAACCTACTTGTGTGAACATAGGAGATTTCAGGACAAAGAGACAAAAGAAAGATGCTGGTTGAAGGAGAATGAGGGCAACATATAATACAGGAACTTAGACAAATCAGTCTTACGTCTGGCCCATATTTTAATTCACCTTTTCCAATCATATACCCTTGTGTAGTGCTTTATAGGCTATCTGATGTGGGAAATTAATAAAAACAAAACCCCACATGCATGCATTTCCACTATGCCAGGGATTTGGCCTAAACTTTGTGGCCATGGAGTTCCTTCCTTCCTTTCCTAGAAACTTGCCAGGGATAAGCAAACAATGATGTGGGGTCTAGAACCACTTTGAGGAGCAGTTGCCTTATAACAAATTATGATTCTTAAACTAAAACATAGGCAACAAACCATAGTATTTCGATATTAATACAACAAAGTAACACATATGATTTCCTCTAAACAAACTTACTTGATTTATTGTATATTTATTGGCCATTTCTTCTTCAGGTGTTATGACATGGACCTGGTATAAAAAAAGCCAACACACTTATTATAAAGTTTGGTACCCTTCAAATAATCTCTGTAGTGGATTGTATTATTAGGGTCATGTTAACCAGGATGAAATTGGAAACCAACTATTTGAATTGGTTCCTCATTTATTCAATTTCTAATCGCAGAATATACATTAAATGGCAAAGAACATGTTAAATATCCTGAAATAACTTTGATAATTAAGAATATGTTAGCTTCCTGCTAGATTAAGACTGTCAGATACACACACACACAGAGAGAGAAATTATACACCCCATCTCTTTTTCCATATATATATATATATATATATATATATATGAACAAAATAAAAAATATCTATTTACAAATAGCATGTTTTCCATCTTTTGGTTGAGATGAAATATAATCATGACAGTCATATATTTATTTGGCTCTCAAACATTAATTGCAACATAAAGGATAAAATTAACACATCTTTTGTAGCAAGGTATCTGAGTAACCAATAATTGTACTTGCATAATGAAAGCAAATCTAATGCAATCCGAAAGTGGAGCTACTCACTCATGAGTCCTTATCAATACTGTCCTGTTTACCTTGTCATTTAGTGAACAGCTTTCAATATGTTCTGTAGAAAAGACCAGATCGCCAGTTACAACTCTTGTACCATAGATTTTAATCCGGTAGGACACAGCTTCATTCCAAATTTTGCTACAGTACGCATGAACGTAGAAAATACGCATGGAGTGAGGGATGCTGAGCCAGCCTTGTATACAACCCTCGTGATTTAAACCATAGCGATTCAAAGCACGCAGTAACATCCTCTCTCTTACTTTAAAGTCAGGAAGCATCGCAAGAGTACCTTTAGCGTCCTCTGAAAGACAGCAAAAAATATTAAGGGTAGGGTTACACAATTTGCTTGTAACCCACACTTTCAAAGCTCAGCTGCTGATTCTTTTTGGCAGCCCCAAAAGCGAATAATTTAACAGAGAACTAGTGGGTTTTCTAAAAGACCTTTTTATCTGTTTTGTCTTCTTCAGGGATGAATTTACCAGCAGAAAGGAGGCGTTTCTTCCTCTGAAGAGGAAGTTCACTGAGAATACCAAAAACATGGCTTTCGAACTCTCTTTCCAGGGGATTAAAATTGCCCTTTTGTTGATTTGTAGAACTGATCATGGTTAAGGGAAGTATTTTTAAAAGGGCTGTGTTTTAATTGTACTTTCTGAACAGATTTTTCAAAAATCATTTAAAGTGTGTAGTTTAAACTACCGTATTTATATATTGTTGTTAGTTTAATACTGATCACTTGAATATTTTACCTTTATGGTACACATGTTAATTTGCAAGACATCTTGTGTCTCAGTTTTGAGGGGTGGGGTGGGCTATAAACAAAGATTGTTTCCATCGTCTTCATCCACTAAGTAATATTAGCAATTGGGATTCTCTTGACTTGTACACAACCTACTGTAAATTAAATACCCAGCTTGTCATGTTACTCTGCTTCTGCTTAGGATCTTTCACATTCTGACTCTGGTTATGTGCAGATTTCTAATTTCCAGGCATTGTTCTTACTCTGTTTTTGCCATAAACTATTATGCTAATCCATGAAAGATCTATCTATCTATCTATCATTTTGGAGAGGAGAAAGGCAACATAGAAGTACTCATATTACACTATGTAACACAATTTTTGTTCCTAGGTTATAAATGTCATTTCCTAATTGGATCTATCCTAAAAACATGGAAACAGTTTATTAAACTGCAAAAACTTTGTTTTTGCGGGACATCCTGCAGAACATTTTGCTATAGTTTTTCAATGAATATCTCATTGAGTCTCAACCAATTCAATACAATTTGTGGCAGCCACAAAAATAAAGTTTCTGGAGTATAACAACTACTTTCAAAGTAAGTACTGCACAATTAAACAGGAAATAACATTTTCAAACCAGGAACAGATTTTCCCCCCAAATTTTGTTATAGTGTTACTAGTAAGTTGTCTGTTGTTGATTATCTTTTTCTTGGGTTAAAGAATCCACTGATTCCAATTTATCTTGGAATATTGCACATTGACAACACAATGGCATCAAGGGCAAGTGAAATCAGCAATCATAAGATAGGCATGATTTAACTGTGTGGTGCTGTATAGCAGAAGGCAAACAATATTTTAGTCTGCATTAACAGACCCACAGTTTAAAGACAGGGTAAGCAATATGATCCCACTTGTTTCTGCACTACTGAAGAGTTCTGGAGTACTGTGTTCAATTCTGGACTCCTCATTTTAAGAAGAATATAGATAAGTTGTAGCAGGTTCCGAAAAGAGCAACAAGGATGATATGAGAACAAAACAAATGAAGGAAAGTTGAAGGAGCTAGGCATGTACAGCCTAGAGAAGAGACAACTGAGAAGTGAGATGATGGCATTCTTTAAATACCCCAAGCACTGTCACAAAGGACTCCCAGTGGCACAATGGGTTAAATCCTTGTGCTGGCAGGACTGAAGACAGACAGGTCAGAGGTTCGAATCCGGGGAGAGTGCATGTAGCTCCCTCTGTCAGCTTCAACTCCCCATGCGGGGACATGGGAGAAGCCTCCCACAAGGATGGTAAAACATCAAAACATCTGGGCGTCCCCTGGGCAACGTCCTTGCAGATGGCCAATTCTCTCACACCAGAAGCAACTTACAATTTCTCAAGCCACTCCTGACACGAAAAAAAAACTGTCACAAAGAAGATGGAGGTTTGTTTTCTGCTGCCCCAGAGGGTCTACACCCAATCTAATGGTTTCGAGTTACAGAAGAGTGGATTTTGACTGAACATGAGAAGGAACCTCTTCATAATAAGAGTGGTTTGGTAAGGAAAGCAATGATGTAGAGAGGTTTGTGTATCTCTTTCAAAGGAGACAGCTACCTGCTGGACAGCTACCTGCTAGAGTTCTTTCACTGAATCAATGGTTGGAGTCAATGGCCTATATTAGGGTTCCATCCATGTCTAGAGTTCTATAGAAGGCAACAGTTTAATAAGAAACTTACAGAAACTTACGTTTTTCACAAGGACTGCAGACAAATCATCAAGAAATTGACATGTCCTTGTGGCAACAAAAGCAAACGTTCTTCAAAAATGAGAGGTTATAATTCAAGGCTTAGGTAAAATTAACTCATAATGGAAGAATCACACGGGCAGATTGGGAGAAAACATGACATATGCCATATCCATACCATTCCCATTACACTAACATGCCCCATGAAATGGAAAGAATACCTTCCTGCCTTGGAGCTGATAAACACAACTTCCTTCCTGTTCCAAGAAGAAGACAAAATAATAGAAAACTTTTCAACAATGCTACCTCAAATGAAGAAAATAACAGAAATGCCTGTTCTGCCAACAAAACTGTGGCAGTGCTTTCGTATTTCTCCCACCAAATATCTGCCAGCAGGATTGTTCTGCCTACTCATCTAAACTCTGAAAAAATAATCTATCCAATATACTGCGAGTAAATAATGCTGAACTGAATATACAGGAGGCCAAGGAGAGTGTGGGAAATCCTTAAGTGTCAATTTCTGCTCCAGTCTGATAGTATTCTCCACAATAAAAACTATATCTTTATAGAAAATATTGAAATGTCATTTTCTGAAAGCCATATTGCAATAAGAATATTTGCCTCTGCAAATTTCCCCATGAATGTGCCCTTGCCTGAGTAAGCACAGTGCACTCCACTGTGAACAGCACAGTGCACTCCACTGTGAACAACTTATGGGAGAAATCTTTTCCACAAATAGTGCCTCCAAGTGGGAAAAAAAGAATTCTGCAATGCTGTGGAAGATTCTGTAGTTCCTTACTCAGTTGGGAGATTATTGCTTTTCTGTTCTACATTGTTCTTTCTGACATGGAAATGTAATTAAGTTCTGGCAGTCTGAAGAAGTGGTTAGTTACATTTGTCAAGCAGTCATCTCCCTGGAGAGCTCCAGTTTTACTTTGAGCAGCAAAGAAAGATCTGAGAAGGGACAAAGATAGAAGTGAAACCTTATGGTGAAAATTAAGAAATCAAAGTAAAATGTGAAGTGACTGAAATCTTTTTGAGGGAAAGTCTTAGATAGGTCTCATTAAGGTAACATCAAACTAGTTCTATCATAGAAAAAAATCATATAATATTATGGTCTACCAACAAAATAACACTATCAATTCTTATTAATCCTCCACAGTCCACCTTTCTCCCACTAATGAGACTATCAATCTGGGCAGATGTAGGGAACATCATGGATGTAGCGTATCTGGATTCCAGTAAGGCTTTCGACAAGGTCCCCCATTACCTTCTGGCAAACAAATTAGTCAAATGTAGGTTAAGCAAAATGACAATTAGGTGGATCTAGACTTGGTTAACTGAATGAACCCAAAGGGTGCTCACCAAAGCTTCTGCTTAATTCTGGAAAGAAGTGATGAGTGGCGTGCCACAGGATTCCGTCCTGGGCCGTGTTCTGTTCAACATCTCTATTAACGACTTAGATGAAGCGTTAGAAGGCATGATCATCAAGTTTTCAGACTACACCAAATTGGGAGGGATAGCTAATACTCCAGAAGACAGGAGAAGAATTCAAAATTATCTTAACAGATTCGAGAGATGGGCCAAAACTAAGAAAATGAAGTTCAATAGAAACAAATGCAAAATACTCCACTTAGGCAGGAAAAAAAATGCAAAGATACAGAATGGGGAACGCCTGGCACAACATCAGTACGTGTGAAAAAGATCTTGGAGTCCTCGTAGACAACAAGTTAAACATGAGCCAACAATGTTCTGTGGCGGCTAAAAAAGCCAATGGGAATTTGGCCTGAATAAATAGGAGTGTAGTGTCTAGATCTAAGGAAGTCATACTACCTCTCTATTCTGCCTTGGTCAGACCACACCTGAAATACTGTGTCCAATTTTGGTCACCACAAATGACGTGAAATGTTGAAAAGCTGGAATGTGTACAGGTGGGTGTGACTAAAATGATCAAAGGTCTGGAGAACAAGTCCTATGAAGAGCGGCTTTAAGAGCTGGGCATGTTTAGCCTGAAGAAGGCTGAGAGAAGACATGATAGCTATGTATAAACATGTGAGGGGAAGTTATAGGGAGGGGGTAGCAAGCTTGTTTTTTGCTGCCCTGGAGACTAGGATGCGGAACAATGGCTTCAAATTACAGGAAAGGAGATTCCACCTAAACATTAGGAAGAATTTCCTGACAGTGAGAGCTGTTCAGCAGTGGAACTCAGAGTGTGGTAGAAGCTCTTTCTTTGGAGACTGGATGGCCATCTGTCAGGGATGCTTTGAATGCGATTTTTCTGCTTCTTGGCAGGGGGTTGGACTGGATGGCCCACGAGGTCACTTCCAACTCTATGATTCATGATAATTCAAAGCACTAAATAATATGGAATATTTAAGTAAAGGAGTGAGACTGAGTTACAACTCAGTCTTAGAAAATAGTTTTTTGCAGAAGATTTAGGTAATGCATACACATGAAAAGCTTGAAGATCAGAATAGCCATAAAAGATCAAGGACAACTGCAGTCTTGAAACTCGTATCTAAAAATATGTATTATCTCTCTGCATTTTTGAAGGCTTTGCAAATGACAACTTTAAAGCATCTTTGACAGAATGAGAAACAAATATCTTCAGTGTTTCCTTCAGACCTCTTATTATTAATCTTCAGTGGATTTCTATTCAGTATTAGTAATTATTTCTAATTCCCTACTGTCCAAGATGACAGAAAATGTGGTTATGTTTACATCTGTTCCAGAAATTTTTAATCATCATTGCTGCTATTTTAATTGCTATACTTCATTGTTTTTTTTTAAAAAAATGTTTTATAATCTTGTTCAAAGCCTGAAAAGGCTGAGATCATTTAAATTAATGTCATTTTAAGTTTTTCCTTCTTTATACTTTTTGTGTTTATTTTTAAATTATGAAATACAATCAGTAAATTCATGAGGAAGTAAAACACACACTTTTTGATTGAGTTTAAATAAATTTTGATCAACAGTATAAAAAAGACAAACACTGAAGGTGTTCTCACACACACAAATCTTGATACAGAACACTTGGCTCCTTTCAATATTGTTACGGTTTACGGCCCCAACATTCTGATTTCAGCATTTTCTTCACATTTATTTCCCAAAAATAAGTGACATGATATATTTACCTGTCTCAATAAAGTATTTTTTGGCTTTATTGACAGGATCATCTGAATCTTCAGGGGTGAAAAACAATTTTACAGCTTTGACCTTTAAAGAAAGCAAACATAAACAGTATTTGCTGCTTTGTGTATTCTCAGTGTTGTTTAAAAAAAGAAGCAAGCAGCAACTCAGATTCTGAAATACACCCTGAATCCAATCATCTTAAAAACTGGATCTATTTGAAAACAGATTTTTTTTCTGGGGTACACCTTTCGTTAATCAGGGCCCTAAAATAGAGAAATGAACAACTAGTAAACAGAAATAAAAGGTGACACTTTATATATGATGAATAAACACAGATGTAGTGTAGGGTCAAAACTGTTTAATATGTGATGTAATTTTATGTGTTATGTCACTTGTATGTGCTTCTGTAAGCTGCCATGAGTCCTTCTGGGAGAAGGTGGAGTGTTACTATTATTATTAAAATAAAAATTTAGTTCAATTCTGTTCCCTGTGCTGTTTAACATTTACATGAAACTGCTGGGAGAGATCATCCGGAGTTTTGGACTTTGGTGTCAAATTTATGTGGACAAAACCCAACTCTATTACTCCTAATGCCAAGGATGCCATTCTGCCTCTAAACCAGTGCCTGTCATCAGTGATGGACTGGATGAAGATTAATAAGTTGAAATTAAATCTAGACAAGACAGAGACACTCCTGGTCAATCAGAAGGCATATCAGGGTGTGGGATTACAGCCTGTGTTGGATGAGGTCGCACTCCCCCTGAAAACACAGGTCCGCAGTCTGGGGGTGATCCCGGACTCATTGCTGACCCTGGAACCCCAGGTGTTGGTGGTGGCGAGGAGCACCTTTGCACAATTAAAATTTGTGTGCTAGATGCCCATACCTTGAGACACCAGATCTGGCCATGGTAGTCTATTCCTTAGTTACATCCGACTTAGACTACTGCAACATTCTCTATGTGGGGCTGCCTTTGAAGATAGTTCGGAAGCTTCAATTGGTTCAGATATTAGTAGCCAGATTACTAACTGGAGCCCTGTACAGGGAGAGATTCACTCCTATGCTATGGCAACTCCACTGGCTGCCAGTCTACTTCTGGGCTTAATACAATGTACTAGTCATTACCTTTAAAGACCTAAATGGCCTGGATTCAGGCTACTTGACTGATCACATCTTCTCTTACAAATCAGCTCGGGCACTGTGGTCAGCAGAGGAGACCCTGCTCTTGGTCCCACTCCCATCTCAAGAACAGCTGGTGAAAAGGAGAGAGAGGGGGGGCCTTTTCTGGGTCATGCCCCATTTTTGGTTTAATTTATTGATGTTAGTTAGGTTCTAATGTTGTTTTCATATGTGGGGTTTTCCTGGGATTATTATGTTGGTATTTGTTTGTTCTATGGAGTCATTGAATGTTTACCGATGTATGTTGGAATCCGCCCTGTATCCCTCTGGGGAAATTGTGCGTAATATAAATAAAATATTATTATTATTAACACCTAGGCTCAAATCTCCATCTATCTGAATGATCTAGGGTCAGTCATGCCCTTTTAGATTAGCCTACTTCAAAGGACTATTGCGATGATAAGAATGGAGAAGGAATACACGTTGAAAAATTTAAAGTTTTTAGGAAGAAAGGTATTATAAAATATGAAGAATTACCATTTCTCCACTCAGCAAAGCCAATCCAATTTGATCTGTATGAATATTCTGTCCTTGTCCAAAACGTTGAGGTCCATAATAATTTATGAAACCATTTTTCTACAAAATTAAAAGTTAAAATGATTATAACCATCATTAACCAAAGATGAGTATTGCATGCCATATAAAATCACTGGGAGCATGAATGCTAGAGACATCTACCTTGACTTTCTCCATTGCTTCACAAACCCTCTCTTTTAAGCTTCCATAACAGTCATCACTGTGAAGTTTTAAATCCCTCACGATGATAGCAAAGTGATTTCCTTGCAGCTGACCAAGTCTCAGTGGTTGGCTCACAGAGTGTACATTAGACAGACCAAGTCCTTTTTTCCCAATTATGCTTCCAAGCTCTTTTAATCTACAAGGGGAAAAAAGGGACAAATGAGAATTTGTGATCATGATAGATAATATTATGAATCTACAAAAGCCAAAGACATGAATGTAGAGAGCCAATTGTATTGCTTCCTAGGAACAAGGAAGGAATACGCCAGAAGAAGACACCTTCTAGATCAGAGCTTTCCCAATACTTCCCTTTTTAAACGCATCATTTCATGACACAGCAATTAAGTTTTACTAGCAAATCAGAGGTTAAACCAACCCCTTATAATAGATATGGACACATACAGAAACTGTATGGGGACACAACATATCTCATGAAAACATTTCATTTATATTTTTAAAAATATGCTTTGTAAGATAACATATATCTCCAAGATTTTTGTCATTTAGGAGTAGCAATATGTTACTAATATTAAGGTGCATGGCTAAGTTCCTATGGGATCACTATCATGTGTGTGTGTTAAAAGAAAAAGACTCGCCCTAGTTGATTACAATTCACAGGCTGAGTAATTGGAGTAATTAAGGTCAACAAGTTTTGGGCCACTCCTGAAGGGGTATAACTGAGAAGAATTTGTTGTATGATTCTGGGCTTTTTGAATGATTGCCTCTAAGCTTATTCATCGTAAGCTCCTGGTTTGCAGCCTATTTGACATTAGCATGTTTATCTTTCATGCTTGTCTCCATGAACAAGAAATGAAGATTGGGAGAAGACATATTTTCTGATGGAAAGTATTGCATACATTAAATGCAAGTACCATACATTAGTTTGATACTCCAATCCAGAGGAACTGTGACTGTATTATTACTACTACTGTCTGAACGTATCTCCCTCTATGAACCAGCTAGGAGGTTAAGGTCATCTGGGGAGGTCCTTCTCTCATTCCCACCCCCTCCACAAGTGCGACTGGTGGGGACGAGAGACAGGGCCTTTTCAGTGGTGGCTCCTCGGCTATGGAACTCCCTCCCTAATGAGGTCAGATCAGCCTCCTCCCTCCTGACTTTCAGAAAAAGGCTAAAGACCTGGATGTGGGATCAAGTGTTCAATTAGTAACCCACTAGAGAATTATGGAATAGTGTAATGACAATTTTGGAATGGCCATGGACTATGATTTTGGATAAGATGATTCTAACAAGTGTTTTAAGATTTGATATGTTTTAATGATTGTTTTAATATATATGTTTATTTTATTATATATGTATGTTTTACATGGCCGTCCTGAATCCCCCTTCAGGGGTAGAGAAAAGACGGGATAGAAATACTAGAAATATTGAATTGTTGGCTATATATGTAAGCTGCTTTGAGACCCCTACAAGGTTGAGAAAGGTGGGATATAAATTAGGTAAATAAATAAATAAATAAATAAATAAATAAATAAATAGTGTTGAAGTTGCTATTTTTTCCCCATGAGTAATTTTACTCTGCTGCACAAGAGTAAAATTTAAGTTTTGCATTTCTTATACTTGTATTTTTTTTAATATACCAGAGATTAATCTTCTGCTGGTCTGCACACATCATCAAACCGCAACAACTAATACTAATAGTAATAATGTTACTAATACTAATTAGTTCCTTTGCTGTGTAAAAATACATGCAAGTTGATATTCCTTATTTCACATAGATTCAGAGGTTTCTCATTATATTCGCACAACACATGAACACACTGTGGCTGACCCACTAATGTGTTGCGACACACAGTTTGAAAAGCTATACATATTGTCTGCAAGTCCTATCTTCCTTCACCATTGAGAAGAAGCCCCTGGTGGCGCAATGGGTTAAACCCTTGTACCGGCAGGACTGAAGACCCACAGGTCACAGGTTCAAATCTGGGGACAGTGCGGATGAGCTCCCTCTGTCAGCTCCTGCTCCCCATGCACAGACATGAAAGAAGCCTCCCACAAGGATGGTAAAACATCAAAACATCCGGGCGTCCTCTGGGCAACGTCCTTGCAGACGGCCAATTCTCTCACACCAGAAGCGACTTGCAGTTTCTCAAGTTGCTCCTGACAGCAAAAAAAATTGCTAAGCTAATAGAACTGTCTGCTAGGAAACGAACCTCATTCTTATGACGGCTGATAGGGTTGCTAGTTCAGGACCAGCTCAAGTCCTAAAAAGAGAGGCAATGCCTGGCCGGAAAGAGCGACATGAGAAAGCTGGCTAGAGATTATAGGAACTGGAGTTGAACAAAATCTGTAGGGACATATATTGCCCACCCTTGGGCATACCATTTAAAATAGTCAGACAGGATGTCTCCTTGACATTCTGGAAAAAAAAACCTTCATCCATAGATTTGTTTTGTTTTTGCCATATGGAAAACACAAAAGAACACTAAAATGAAACAAAACTGCATTACAAGAAATATAAACTGGAAAAAATCTATATAAATAAAAATGTAATGTTCATTTGTGGGATTAACAGAACTCAAAAACCATTGGACTAATTGACACAAAATTTGGACACTATACACCTAACAGACCAACTAGTGACCATCACTCATAAAATCCCCCCAAAACAGTGGGAAGGACTTAAAAACCCAAGTAAGCGAAATGACGAAAAGCTAAATGACAATACAGAAATAAAAAGGAAGGGGAGAAAGAAAGAAAGAAAGAAGAGGGAGGGAAAGAAAGAAAGAAAGGGAGAAGGAAGCAAAGAGCGAAAGAAGGAAGGAAAGATGTAGAGAAGGAAGAAAGGAGAGAAAGAAAGAAAAAAGGGAGTGAAGGAAAGAGGAAAAGAAGGAGAGAAAAAGGGAGGGAAGAAAAGAAGGAAAGAGAGAAGGAAGGATGAAGCAAAGAGAGAAAGAAGGAAGGAAAGCGGTAGAGAAGAAAGAAAGGAGAGAAAGAAGGGAGGGAAGGAAAGAGGAAAAGAAGGAGAGAAAGAGGAAGGGAAGAAAAGAAGGAAAGAGAGAAGAAAGGATGGAAGCAAAAAGCGAAGGAAGGAAGGAAGGAAGGAAGGAAGGAAGGAAGGAGGTAGAGAAGGAAGAAAGGAGAGAAAAAGGAAGGAAAAGAAAAAGGGGGCAAGAAAGTAAAGAGGTAGAGAAGGGAAGGAACGAAGGAAGGAGGGAAAGAAGGAGAGAAAGGGGGAGGGGTACAGCTAGCAACTGAAATAATTCTACTGGAATCTAGTGCTACTTACGTAGTCTTAGTGCAACTTTTAAGTAGAATAAACATTTTTCCAGCCTAGACCCTGAACAATTTAAGTAAGACAGGCAGGACAATGCTGCTGGGAGAGACCAGGATTCAATGAAAGTCTACTTAAGAAACAGCTTAACAAAAGGGAAAGCTAACTGACAGCAGACTCTGTGTGGAATACTTTGCAAAAGTAAGCAGCTTTGATGGAAGGGCTTGGCCAACATCAAAATGCCACACTTCTGCAACAGTTCTACTTGAAAAAACATTTCCTCCGCTTGAAAACGGATTGCATATGTGTAACAAGCGAAAGATTAAAAGAAGACTTCAAGGCAGGTTATTTGAACTGCCAGTTATGTTTCCAATTATAAGCATGTACATTACACACCCGAGGAGAGAAACAGTCCTATGAGTTTGTTTTTGTAAGCCCGACAGCGATGGAGTCATTCTGGCTTACAGAGAGGCGGTGGTATAGCATTGGTCTTTGATGAACAACAGATTTGCAGGGATCTGACGCTGGGAGGATGTATAAGTTAAAAGGTTCAACCTGTTAACTGTGAAAATATTTCTAAGATAAGTCTTGTTATGGCATTGTAGGATAAAAACCCAAAGAAAACACTTTTCTTTAATACCAATTAATCAATACTTTGAAGAGGAGCAAAATTATTTCCATTGTTACAAAACTCCAAAAGGCAGAGGATGAATCGAATAGAATTTGGGCCATTTTTATAATTTTTCCTCCTTCATGGATCTTCAAGAAGGAAAAAGAAAACAACTTGTCAGAACTTGTCAAATCTTCATTTACAACTAAACAACGAAGTGCAAAACGATAGTCTACATGGTGTGAGACAAGTTAAAATAAAAGCAACATATTTGTAGAAATGGGAACAAGAGTGGTATAGCGGGATGACCGTTCGACTTGGGAGCACAGGATTCAAATTCCTGCTCAGTCACGGGAAGCCTCTGGCTAACATTGGGCAAGGCACACTTTCTCAATCTAAGATGAAAGCAATAAATCCTCTTAGGCTGTATCTATACTGCAAAATAATCCAGATTATCAACTCATATAATCCACATTATCTGATTTGAATTGGATTATATGAGTCTACACCAGGGGTCCTCAAACTAAGGCCCGAGGGCCGGATACGGCCCTACAAGGTCTTTTACCCAGCCCTTGCTCAGAGTCAACCTAAGTCTGAAAAAACTTGCAAGCACACACCAACAACAACAATCCCATCTCATCAGCCAAAAGCAGGACCACACTTCCCAGTGAAATGCTAATAAGTTTATATTTGTAAAAATTGTTTTTCATTTTAATTACTGTATTGTTTTAAAGTGTTTTTAGCACTACAAATAAGATATGTACAGTGTGCATAGGAATTCTTTCATGTTTTTTTCAAATTATAACTGGCCCTTCAACAGTTTGAGGCACTGTGACCTGGCCCTCTGTTTAAAAAGTTTGAGAACCCCTGGTCCACACTGCCATATAATCCAACTCAAATCAGATAATCTGGATTTTATATAGCAGTGTAGAAGGGCCTTAATAAATCTCTCTAAGATTGGGTCACCATACATCAGAATAGACTTGAAGTCACATAACAATATCAAAATCCTCTTTTGGAATGGAGCTGGCTAACAGAACAACAAAAAAGGAAATCAGATAGCATAGTCTAGCCCACATTCCTTCTTTAAAAGCTAACATATTTATATTTTATTTTTAGCATAAAATTATCTGTGGAGCCCCCGGTGGCGCAGCAGGTTAAACCGCTGAGCTGCTGAACTTGCTGACCAAAAGGTCATGGGTTCAAATATGGGGAGCGGGATGAGCTCCTGCTGTTAGCCCCAGCTTCTGCCAACCTAGCAGTTCGAAAACATGCAAATATAAGTAGATCAATAGATACTGATCCAGGGGGAATGTAATGGCACTCCATGCAGTCATGCCAGCCACGTGACCTTAGAGACATCCTCAGACAATGCCAGCTCTTCGTTGTAGAAATGGAGATGAGCACCAACCCCCAGAGTCGGACACGACTAGACTTAATTAGCAATGGGAAACCTTTGCCTTTACTATAAAATTATCTTAGATCTTTTTAAAACTCCTCCCCAAATATATTTTAAAATTCCACTGCAATTGTTTGTGCTGCTCTGTGACACGTGCCTTTCCAATTTTCTATACCAATTTTCCACACCACCGTGTTGCATCAAGAAAGCAAAACACTGCTTCTACGCAAGCCTCACATGGATGCCAAACTAACCTAAAGCTTCCTAATATTATCATTGCAAAACTTCTACTGGTGTCTGAATATAGGCACACCATAATAGTTTGATAGGACAGGATGGAGTGGGGTAAACATGGACTTGTGAAAAGGCTGTTATTCCCATGTTTCACTATTATAAAACGCCAGAGACTGCATTTTGATCATCACAACTCTTTAATACCTTTACTCCAGAATTCGGGAAATTTGCAAGTTTCCTCCATTGGGATTCCTCTATCACGTAAGCTATTTTCATATAAATTGCCTACAAAATCGCCAAGGGGAAAATGAATCACCTACTTACCTGCAGAAAGAAACATAGTACCACATTTCCATATAAACAACTGTATCTATCCTTCTGAAAAATGAGGAAACAGGTTGTAAACTAAATAAATACGCACCTTTTAGGAGTTACTTTCTTCACAACCATAGCTTGGTAGGTAACAGCCTTCTTATCTTTAATGCCTGTGTAACTGAAGTCTGAAGGGAGCACGCCAAGTTCAGAAGACAAATAGCTAATTGCTTCAAGGGTTTCCAGATTCTCTTTTTGGAGAGTAAAGGCTGAAAAAATATTATTACAAATTCAATGCATCTAGTATGATACTTTTTTCCTCTGCATACCTGAATGGAGAAAATGCAGGTTCTGTTTATATGATCAGGTAGGCATTTGATTTTATTACTGATTAAACTTTGTTATGCTAATGGAAAAAAAAACATTATGCAGAAATATATTATCTTAGGTGCTTATGAACTGTTACCAACCACAGTAATAAGATTATTGCAGATGCCTATTCATAATCATATCTAAAGGTCAATCTTCTAGTAATAATTTTTAGCATATGTATTTCAGTTTTGGCTAGTTGGCAAGCAGGTAGGCTAATGGAATATTTTTTTTTTAAAAAACCCAGAATATTCTTTATATAGATGCACAAATCTACAGCGACATACTTTATATTCTTCTGCAGGGAAAGTATATTGCAAGGATATATTCATTTCTAGAATAATGATATAAGGCCATGGGATAAAACAAACCGAAGCTTCTTATCATCTTCTTTCCAGCAACAGGGCCAAATTATTGATGTCTCAGCCCAAATGAAACATTGCATCACTCACAGAATTAGTATATTTTTTTGATAAGTTGCAAATATCGCTTCATAAATATAAACAGACACAGCAGTGAAAATGAGGAACCTGACAGTGGGTTTAGAGGCATGACAACCCTTTCTTCTCCATGAAAATCTAGGTCTCCCATGCCGCCTGTTTGTATGAAAAACACACATATTGACAACAATGGGTGATTTCTTCTTCACATTAATAGTGTGAGTTTGAGAGGTTGGGTGGAAAAGAGGTTTGGAGCAAAGCTTAAAGCCCTACCAATCATCTTAGACCCTGATCCAGGTCAGGTTCCCATGCCTGTAATTTAAACTATTTACACACTTGTGAGTTGTGTGAAAGATGTACCATCAAAGATATAGCATCTATGCAGCCCAAAATGATGGCTGATGCTGTTCTTAATGCTCACTCTCACTGCAATGTATTTATTTATTTACGATATTTCTACTCTGCCTTTCCCGAACCCGAAGGTGACTCAGGGCAGTTTTATAACACAGGCAGCTATTTGATGCCATTAAAACAATGTAAAAATTACAATAAACATTTAAAATAGAATTATACATTACATACATTAAAATCTTTAAATACATATAAAACCACTACCATCACTATTAGCCTCGTTATCCAAAAACATCATCTAAGCTGTTATAGTATTCGTTTTCATATAGTTCCGTGTTTATCTGTTGCACTAGGTTCCCAAAGACTTGCTCAAAAAGCCATGTTTTCACTTTTCTGCAGAAGAGCAGGAGGGAAGGGGGTGATCTAATATCCCTAGGAAGGGAGTTCCACAGTCGAGGGGCCACTACTGAGAAGGCCCTGTCTCTCATCCCTGCCAGTTGTGCCTGCGGAGAAGGCGAGACCGAGAGCAAGGCCTCCTCAGGTGATCTTAAACTTCTAGATGGTTCATAGGGAGAGATACGTTCGGACAGATAAGCTGGGCCAGAACCATTGCGGGCTTTATGGGCCTTCCCTATGATGAATTATGATGAACTGTGACCACGAACATGACTACGACTGACTGGATTGACGATTTGGCGTAGGAAACTGTAATGATGTAATGATAATGATGATGTTTTTATTGTACTGTGTTGTACTATTTTAATACCTGTGGTTTTTTTATATGATTGTACTTTATATATGCTGTAAACCGACCTGAGTCCCTCGTCGAGGTTGATAAGGCCGGTATAGAAAACCTCTAAATAAATAAAATAAATAAAGCCAGTGTTTTGTATTGTGTTCGATAGCAAACCAGCAGCCAGCAGAGCTGGCATAACAACGGAGTTGTATGCTCTTTTAATGCCACTCCGGTGAGCAATCTGGCTGCCGTCTGTTGGACCATTTGAAACTTCCGAACACTCTTTAAAGACAATCCCACATAGAGTGGGTTGCAGTAATCTATGTGGGATGTAACCAGAGTGTGAACTACCGTGGCCAAGTCAGACTTCCCACGGTACGGGGAAGCAGACCAAGAGCAACCTGGCTCATTCATATCATACATAGGGACTATTCCACAAAACTCACACCTGAATCTACTTCCTAACTGTGAGAGCTGTTCAACAGTGGAACTCTCTGCCCCAGAGTGTGGCGGAGGCTCCTTCTTTGGACAGAGGCTGCATGGCTATCTGTCAGGGATGCTTTGAATGCGATTTTCCTGCTTCTTGGCAGGGGGTAGGACTGGAAGGCCCACGAGGTCTCTTCCAACTCTATGATTGTATGATAAACTCTTGTATTCTCACCCCAGCTATGTATCCTTTCCTAAAAAGCATTGATCTAATTGCGGTACATATTGCTGAAGGGGGGGGGGGTAGCATTTGGCATGCCACAATTGTGAGGAACTGATGTTCCTTTGGATGTTGTTGGACTATGGATCACATTATCCCTGAACGCTGACCATGTTGCCTGGACTAATTTATTGAAAGACTGTAACAAACCACTTTCAAAGAGGACAAACCTATTATATATTTACCTGTGTAAATGTCTTCTTTCTCTCTGCTCCCAGCATTAGTCCTTTTCCGGCATCCATTTTTCTCACGAAACCTTACCATAATTACAACTTTCTGCTCAGAGTCGGTAAAAGACTTTGTCTCCACAAGCTTACCGAACTTTTTACTAAGGAAATGGTGAACCTTTTTACGATGTTCCTTGTTCCCATCAGGTCTAAAAGCAAACTTGGAATTTTCTAATTTGGCATCTAGGAATTTCAGAAAACCAGAAGCTTCCTCTTCAGACACCAACTTACAGAGTTCCTGGTAATCCTGATTTGCTTTTACGACAATTTCCCCTGACTTTGTAATTGTGGCTAAGAAAGGGTATTCCTGCCTAATGGCACCATGCAAACTGGCTCGAACCGTCTTCTCAGGGATTGGACCAAGTGAGAATTCAGTGGAAAAAACCGCTGGCTCAGATTTCAAATTCCACATATCTTTTACGGAGTAAGCAAACTGACATAGTTGTTCCCTTACAGCCTGACTTAATAAAGAGTCCAATGTCTCAGCTTTGTCATGGTAGCACTCAAGCACCTTCTTAACTGAATGTTCTTCACCTTCTTCAACAAGGGAATGAAGAACGTCTGAGGGACAATGAACATCCCCATCGTGTTCTCTGAAATATTCTTCTTCTACACACGGCTCTGAAGGACTCAGCCTGAGTCTTTTGGAAGCCTGCTGACAGCTCCTGCTTTGGTCTGACAAGGTTCCGCCAGATTTAGAAAGACAGTCCGTTACAATCTCATTAACCAACTGTCCATGCATATTAATTTCTGTCACAACAAAGTCACTTGGAAAGGTTTTTATACAGCCACAGAAGCCAACATGATCATTCACATAAGTGGAAGAGTCGTGTGTTACGGGTGTGCCAGAGTCTTCTTCCATTCCAGTATTAGATAGTCTAGAAAAAGTAACAAAAAAAAGGTCAAGTCAATTCTCAGAATATTATCTGGATGTTGGGGATGTGATAGGCTGTGAAAAGCTAAATTTAGAGACAGCCGTTACATTTTAAAAACATATTTTAATACCTATTTTACATTAAAAATTTAAAATGTACTTTATGTAATCTGAAGTAATTCCTATTTGCTATCATGTCAGTTTGGACTTATGGCAAGGCTCCTTAAACATTTCTCACTTGCAACTCCCTTCTGACTAATACATGACCCCAGGTATACAAAATAGGTGAAAAACCAAACATTTACTGATAATAAATCTGCATTTGCAAGGATTTCTAAACAGGTTTATTTTCCTGTTTATGAAGTACAGATGAAGCATTTTCTGCACTGTTAACACTGAACATTGTTGCTAACAGATTTGTGTAAAAGTCTGGGTGGCATTCAGAAAACTTTCACTTTTACCAACTTTTTCATGATCCCAACATTGAGATAAAGGGACCTAATTTTGGTCTGGGACCCACAGTTTAAGAAAAGCAGTTATTTATTGCAGCCTTATAAATGAGAGAATTTCACAGTCAACTGGTATCTTGGGAGGGAACCTGGAAAAGATCTAGATAAGACATTCAAGTGCAAAAATGTATAATTAAATATTGTTAAAATATATCACCAGTTGTTTAAAGATGTTGTGATTTTCTGCAAATAGTATATCATCTGCTGGTGTTCCTCCCCCCCGCCCAACTCTATTATTTTATAGAATCATAAAATAATAGAGTTGGAAGAGACAACATGGGCCATCCAGTCCAACCGCCTGCCAGGCAGGAAAAGCACAAAGCACCCCCAACAGGTGGCCATCCAGTCTCTGTTTAAAAGCCTCCAAGGAAGGAGCTTCCACCATACTCTGATGCAGAGTTCCACTGCTGAACAGCTTTTCATGTCTCCCTCCTCTGCAAATGCTTTCTATATCTTTCTGGATGGCATCAGTAAAAACATGGGCTATGAGAAAAGTAGGCACTGATGCCTACTAACTTGTGTGGCATTGCCCAGATGGAGTGCCTCAACTAATCTGGCAGAATGTGTATATATATGTACTTTGAGGTCACCTGTTGACTTATTGCAACCCTGTGAATTCTTCATAGTGTTTTCTAAGGAAATGAAAACTTGGGAGGTGGGTTTTGCCATCTGTTGCCTCCAAAATATAGCCTATAGCATCTGGTATTTGTTGGCAGTCTCCTAGTGAAGTACTAACCAGGACTGACCCTTCTTAGATTATAACATCAGGGTATGCTTGCAGCATTGTCAAGTACAATTAATGTCTCAAAAAAGCTGAGACATGCAATGGATGTATGTTTTGAGAGAGAGAACTGTCTCACTTGGATGGGTTTTAGTAATGAGGACAGAATATAACATTTTCTCCTGTGACAGCCAGAAAGGGAGGAAGAGCAAGGAGCAGCTTCTACAATGAGAAATCCTAGCTTCCACTCTGGAATGGGGCCCAGTCCTTTTTATGATCACAGAAGGTGTTCAACTAATGCAGTTTGAACCCACTTTAACTGTCATGGATCAATATTGTGGAATCATGGAAGTTGTAGTTTTACACGGTCTTTATCCTTCTCTTCCAAAGAATGCTGGTGCCTCACCAAACTACAAATCCCATGATTCCAAAGCACTGAGCCATGGAACTGAAAGTGGAATCGAACTGCATTAATTCCCAAACCTGGAGAACTTTAGTTCTCCAGGTTTGGACCGTGCTCTGACTTACAAGAAGCACTGCTTGACTATCAAGCAAAAGGTAGGCACTAGAAATAATATCATACGAAAGCTGACTGGCACAGCCTGGGGATTACAACCAGACACAGTGAAGATATCTGCCCTTGCACTTTGCTACTCTGCTGCTGAGTAAGCATGCCTAGTGTGGAACACATTGCACCACATTAAAACAGTGGATGTCTACATCCCACACCACTGGAAAATTATACTATTTAGCCGGTATTGTGCCATCTGACATAGGCCAGGAAGTAGCAGCCAATAATTAAAGGATCAAGACAGTGTCATATCTGGTCCATCCTCTGTTTGGATATCAGCCAGCAAGCCAATGCCTTAAATCAAGAAATAGCTTTCTAAGATCTACAGAGATACTTGCAGGAACACCTCAGCAAGCAAGAGTCCAAAAGTGGCAGGCTAAAACCTGGAACCTCAACCAATGGCTGATACCGGATGAGAGATTCCCTTGGAAAGCGCTGAACAGACTGCACTCGGGCACCACGAGATGCAGAGCCAACCTTAAGAAATGGGGCTACAAAGTGGAGTGCAGAGAAGAGCAGACCACTTACTACAATGCGGTCAGAGCCCTGCCACATGCAGAATGGAGGATCTTCCCACAACAACACCAGAGGCACTCCAAGTGGCCAGCTTATGGTCAAAGGGCATTTGGTTTAATGCCAAGTTGGTAAAAGTATGATACCTGGGAACAAGTGCTGGTAGCGCTACGCATTAGAAGGAAGGATAGAAAGGAGGGGAGAAAAAGGAGGACTGGTGAAAAATGAATGTAATCAAGTTTATTCAGCAGTTTCACACAACCAAGCTGGCCGTGTAATCTTTTGGGTCAGATTGCTGATTTCTATCTCGTTTAAGGACTTCCGAAACTGTTTCCCTTACCATTATTTATCATTTCTCATTAAAGACCTGTTACATTACTTCAGTGTTATCTGTGTCCCACCTGAGTTAACTGAGTTCAATGGTATCCTGCCGTCACATTGGCGTTGGTGAATCAGCGTAACGCGGAATCAGCGTAGCGCTACCAGCACTCGGTCCCAGCTATCATATTTTATCACCAAGTTTTTAACTTTGCTTGTGTTTTTAAATACAACAGTATCCTCAATTCGCTTCTGACATGATAAATAAATAACTAAATAAATATGGAAGGACTAGGAATACAGACTGAGCCACCCTGATTTGAAATACTCCAAAATCATCCACATGGCTGGCTGAGACAGTGACACCTTTGCTTCCTGATGGTTCAGGACATACAAACTTTATGAACGATACCATAAAAAAATATTGTGCAGAAAAATGACCTCCAGGCCATTATGTGCATATAAAACAGAAATAAATGAGACTTCTGTCTCATTTGCAAGATGTCTGATTATCTACGTTTTTGAAAATACAGGTATCTGGAGAAAAAAAAATTCAAAATCCCAAACACAAGCATTGCGGATAAGGGATACTCAACCTGTACAGATTCTCTGCTCAAGATCCCCGCAGATTTAAAAAAAAAACCCAACTCCTGCCTTTTTTTAAATGTCTTTGGAAGGCTCCTCTGCAAACACAACCCCAGTCTCCAAAGGGATCTTCCATTTGCCACTCGCCGCAGGGGGAGATTAGGGGGCGTGGCCAAGTGAGCAGACTATGCCACTGTCACTGATTAGGGGTGGCTCTCGTAGCGAGAAACGGAATGGTCTCCCTTTTCTAGTTTGGGCGATACCATTATGGCTCAAACACAAAAAATAAACCAGGCAAAGCAGCCAGTCCTCTCTACGAGTCAGAAAGCACAATATAAGTGAGAAGTGTGGGATAAAATGAAGTGCAGCTCCCCTCATCAGCCTCTTTGTTGGTTTTAAGGAAGCGTCCCTACCCGCTTTCCTCCACAATGGGCCTGTCCTAAAGGGAAGGGGAGCTAATGCGCATGCGTGGAATTGGAGCGCTCAGGGGCGCGCCAGATTAGAGGGAAGTGACAGCGGGGAAGTTCCCAGGTTGAGTCAAATGGGGAAGCAAGTGGGCGGAGCCAAAGGGGAAAGTAAATGGGGGAGCCCTTTAGCTGGGGAAAGGCTCATTTCGGGGACCTAAAGGGTGAGCTATGCCATTTATCCTCTCCCTCTCTTTTCTTCTTTGAGCAGCAGGGCTGTGCTCAGTATTGTAAGGTCCTGGTTTAGCCAGAACAGGCACAGGAACCCTATAAATGCCTTTATATTTATGGTGTCCCTCCAAAATGTATACACCCTTCTGTAATGATTTATGGTGACTTCATAACATTGTAGGATTTTCTTGGCAAACAATATTCGGGATGGTTTTGCCAATCCCAGGCTCAGGTGCCCCCATCCAAGTACTAACTAGGGCTGACCCTGCTTAGCTTCCAAGATCAGACACCATCTGGTGCCTTGAGTCTATTTAAGGAGAAGACTCTTTATTGTTTTATGTACACCTGTGTTTTTATATATGGACGTGATGGGATATTTTGGGATCCAAGTCTAAACATGGAATTAATTAATGTTTCATGTACACCTTATACACTGCCCAAAGTATGATCCCCCAGTGGTGCAATGGGTTAAACCCTTGTGCCGGCGGAACATGCTGACTGACAGGTCAGCAGTTTGAATCTGGGAAGAGCGGGTTGAGCTCCCTCTGTCAGCTCCAGCTCCCCATGCAGGGACATGAGAGAAGCCTCCTACAGAGATGGTAAAACATCAAACATCCAGGCAGCCCCTGGGTGACATCCTTGCAGACAACCAATTCTCTCACACCAGAAGTGACTTGCAGTTTCTCAAATCATTTCTGACATGAAAAAAATACTGCCCAAAGTTATTTCTATTTTTCATAATATTGTGCATGAGACATAGATTGGGTACACTGAACCATCAGAAAGCAAAGGGGCCTCTGTTTTAGCCACCCATGAGATAATCTTGAATCTTGGAGTATTTTTGGATTTTGGAGTTCCATATATGTTCTAGAGAAGTGTTGTGAAATGACATGAGAAACTTTGTGACTTTGGTTCAACAGTGTGAGCAGTGTGCATGACTGCACAATCATGGCGATTCGAACACCTAACATAAAATGGTAAATTAAGATGGAATTTTTAGCACCGATTACATTATTGTTATAACATCTATTTAAATAAAAATGTTCTGTTTGTTTGTGGGATTAACATAACCCAAAAACCACTAGACGAATTGACACCAGATTTGGACACCATACACCTATCAGGCCAACAAGTGACCATTACTCATAAAAATACTGAAAAACACAGCAGAAGAGACTTAAAAAGCTAAAAAAACAAAATTTACATTACAACGCATGTGCAAAACCACACACACACACATATGCAAACACACATATACACAAATATATACACACACAAAACATATATAAAGACTGGACCACAGCAATGCGTGGCAGGGGACGGCTAGTTCTTTAATATAAATGTCTTTAACTTTTGAGAGGAGCTCCCGATGGCACATCAGGTTAAACCACTGAGCTGCTGAACTTGCTGACCGAAAGGTTGGTAATTTGAATCCAAGGAACAGGGTGAGCTCCTGCTGTTAGCCCCAGCTTCTGCCAACCTAGTAGTTTGAAAACATGCAATTGTGAGTAGATCAATAGGTACTGCTTCGACAGGAAGGTAATGGCGCTCCATGCAGTCATACTGGCTAAATGACCTTGGAGGTGTCTATGGACAATGCCGACTCTTCAGCTTAGAAATGGAGATGAGCACCCCCCCCCCCAGAGTTAGACACGACTAGACTTAATGTCAAAGGGATCTTTAACCTTTAAGAAATAATCATAACAACTGTTAGTTATATAAAAGGGTGTGTATGTATGTGTGTGTGCATCTATCTATCTATCTGTGGACACTGTTGCTTGCTCTGGTTAAGCACTGTGCAGTAAACTGCCACTTGTTTGGCTCCTTTCATTGAGCAGGCTCCCACTATCTGGATCAGAATCCAGCCTCCTTGTTGTTGTGTGCTTTGAAGTCATTTCCAATCTATGGTGACCTTAAGACGGACTTAGCACAGGATTTTCTTGGCAACAGCATTTCAGAAGTGATCTGTGCTTGCATTCCTCTGAGGTTAAGAAAGAGTGTCACTTGTTCAAAGACACCCAAGTGGGCATCATGACCAAGTGTGGATTTAGATTGTGATCTCCAGAGTCATAGAAACCAGTACACCACACTGGTTTCTATGATATATATATTGTCATTTAAAGATTTTGCCAGGTTTCATTAAAATTAGACTTTCTTTGGGTTGTACGTTTTTTCAGGCTATATGGCCATGTTCTAGAGGCATTCTCTCCTGACATTTCGCCTGCATCTATGGCAAGCATCCTACAGACCTACCTCTGAGGATGCTTGCCATAGATGCAGGCGAAACATCAGGAGAGAATGCCTCTAGAACATGGCCATATAGCCCGAAAAAACCTACAACAACCCAGTGATTCTGACCATGAAAGCCTTCGACAATAGACTTTCTTTCTTGATACAGAAAGGGTTTTCTCCCTCCCCTCTGGATTTGCCCCCAGGAAAAGCTTTATAGTGCCCACCAGTTCATTATATTGTGTATATCAATACTAGAACACAGCCCGAAAACCACACAACACTCCACTGTATATCAGTTGTTCTCTCAACACCTCTCCCTGATAAGGATAATATTACCTTATCTGGGAACTGTGTTAAAATATATTCTAATTATGGATAATCCTTTAAATGTTATCAGTTTGGGAGCAAATTGCTTGGTTTACATTATGTAATGCAGTTTATATTCCTGAGTTATAAATGTCTGTAAGGAAGCGTAATCCCACCTAAATGGGATTACCAAAATTAAATAAATATGTATGTTAATCCACCTAATTTCAAAC